TGTGTGCTGTGTGGGTAGTGCGGCGCGTGGTAGTATGGTGCATGGGTAGCGCGGTGTGTCGGTAGCGCGGTGTGTCGGTAGCGCGGTGTGTCGGTAGCGCGGTGTGTCGGTAGCGCGGTGTGTCGGTAGCGCGGTGTGTCGGTAGTGCCGTGTGCCGCACAGGAGCTCTGTGCACTGGTATCACGGCGATGGATTTCGTGGTGCTCTCTGGGGCTCCTTATTGTATTTGAGTAAATCCTCGCAGGCCTTACTTCCACCACAGATCCCCTCATTACTTTGGCTCTCCGTGTTGGATGGCATTAGGCATTCCCAGGCCTGTCCTGGTCCCCTGGCCCTCAGGCCCCAGCCCAGGCCGGGGGCTGGCAGGGGCAGCACCGGGCGGGCCTGGGGCTTGGCCACAGTGCAATGGAGGTCAGACGTGACTGGGTGCAGGGTTCAGAAAGATGGTCGCAGATTCACCCTGGCTTTGTTGGAAGCGGTGCTTCATTTCACGCAGGTTTTCATCCGTACTCTGCTTTGTTTTCTCCAGGATCTGGGCCCGCACCTCCTTTTTTGGTTTGCTTTGGTCTTGGGCACAGCAGGCGCTGAGTCCCGTAGGCCCACTGACCCCCCCCCCCCCGCCCGCCCGCCCCATGTGCCGTGTATTTCATTGTCTTGTCGTGAAAATGGCGTTATCTGTGAAAAGGACGGAAGCAAGTTAGGTGAAGTCAGGGGCTGTTTAGTAGGAATTCCAGGGCCTTCCATGGCGTCTGGCACCTGCGGTCAGCAGTGCCCAGGTCAGCGGGCAGAGCCGGGCTGGAGAGCAGCCTCCGCTCCAGCAGATCCGCCGCACTCCGTCCTCCACAGCGCTTGACAGGAAGCATAGGATACATTTTCAATCGCATGTGTCATCAGCGGAAGCCACCAGAATAGATGATTTTCTCATCCCCCCACTCCTGAAATGCACCAATTCTGTAGACACTGCCTTCAGGATATGTAATTGAAAGCATTGCTTCCATTGACATTGATTAGGGTTTATTCATCTGTAATAGCTGTAAGTTTGCTTGTGGCAAAATTGCATTTTCTTTCTATTGCACTCATTGAAACTGAGTGCTTCCCGGGGTAGCTTTGTCATTTTTATTTCAGAGGTTTTTATTCAGAGCATCTCTCAAATCACAGCCGGTGGGCTTTGCTCAGACATTATTGCAGCGAGATGGACAGTTCACTTCTCCATGTTTATTCCCTTAACAAAGAAGCGCATCTGTTACTTTGTTACTGATTTGGTTGTGTGGGGTCTTATTTTGTATTTTGATACATGTCCTTCAATGTGACCATTTCCTCTGTCATCTCTTTAAAAATGGAACGCCTTTGAAACTATGGCTCTGATCATCCCCCCCATGAACAGGAAATTCTCTGCGCTTCTCTGTTTTTCCTGCAGCTGCCCTGTTTAACTCAGCCGCAGCTGCTTTCCCGAGCACCGGCCGGCACCTCTCAGGCCGGCTGGCGGCCCCTCCTGCCAGGTGGCAACACCGAAGGCCGTCCCCGGCAGCAGCGGCAGAGGATCGTGGTTTGGATGGGCGATGCCGTGCTTCTACCCTTGTAGGTGGGAGAGGGTCGCACCCAGGGCTTCCCAGTCACCTCAGCAGCAGGAAAGAGGAAAGAACTTCCTGATGCAGAAGAGAGAGGCTAGGAGAGGAGGAGGAGGAGAGGGGAGGGGGGAGAGCGAGAGAGGGGAGGAGGAAAGAAAGAAGGAAGAGAGGTGAGGTAAAACAAGGTGACACTAAAGACATAGCTTAAAGGTAACTATTTGACTGTGCTTGAAAGCCATTCTTTGTCCCAGCTAGAGGAAAGTCAGCTCTATTTCTACCTCAAACCACTCAGGGCTGGCTTATATCAAACACAGCACTGTCTTTGTAGAAACAAGTGTATTCATTTGATGTCCTCAGGTTTTTTAATGATGAGTGTTCTGTGAGCCTTCGGCTCGGGGCGACTCAGGTTTCTGGGTGTGCATCACGGTTCGCAGGCCTCCGAGACACAAACGCTCACCGCACATGGCAGCCGCGCCCCCTCCGGCCAGCTGCTCTCCCAACACGACGCCTACCTTCATGCGCCCATTTACCCAGCTCCCATGCTTGGCAGAGCTTCAGTCCGTGCCTTTCCACTCTGCCCCTAAAGATAACACAGAGCGTCCTCACTTGCGAACACGACGCACCAGCAACGCTCAATCAACAGCGCGTGAGCCGCGGAGCTTCAAGTACAGGGTCCCTTTCCTGTATTCCCGTCTTCTCTTGGCATCTTGGCAAGGCAACTTCCCGCCCACCCACCCCGTGCTGCACAAAGACCGTGGGGAACTTGAACAGGAGCCTCAGGGGACCCCGCAGGGAGGGGAGCGGCTAGATTTTTGAGCACTGCGGGCTTGTGCAGGACGCTCCTCATTTGGGAAACAGGCCTGCCAGGCTGATTCCAGTGACCCCTGCATTTACTTCTGTCCGTGTTCATTTCCATACGCTCAGAGCACGGATGTCAACCTGGCAAGGCTGGTGAGAGGACGTGGGGGACTTGGGGGCGTCCGGGGGTTCATGAGTGGCCTGCATTGGGGCCGCTCTCCTTAGAGGAAAGACCTTTCCCCGTGCACAGCGGCCACACCTGCCCCTTCACGTGCTGCCCGCCTTTCCTGGAAGTTAATATCTTCGGAGGTGACAGTGATTGAATCTGAACAGGATCAGAAGCTCACAGCTCGGGGGCTTGCTGAGGATGTGGAGGGTGGGCGGGGACTGACGTGGGCGGGAAGGTGGAGGTGGAGCAGAGCCAGAGTCTCTGCCAGGCCAGGAGCACAGTGTGGGCAGGCCGGTGGGCGGCATGCTGCTTCTCCTTCTCCTGGGTAAGTGGACCGTGTCTCCGGTCTGTCCAAATTCATGGAATTCTAATTCTCTGTCACCTGGAAGTCCCTACCAGCCGAAGCTTCCTGATAAGTGCTGCAGGCTCCATTACCAGCAGACATGCCCTTCACTCACTCACTTCTAGATCCACAGAGAATGAGCACTGCGTGAGCTGCTCGGCTGGCTTGACTTCATTGTAGAGCAACCCAGTGACTGAATTGTGCTAAGACTTGTGATCTTTACCTATATGCCAGAGCCTTCCAGAACTAAAACCTTCCAGTATCTGTTTACAAGTTAGGGGATATTGAATGTTCAGTTAGCCACTTTGCTTTAAGTTTAAATGTAAATTAGATCAATTTTAATGATTCAGTTCCTATCGTTTTAAAGTTTAATATTTATTAACTATGTACTCAATTTCTGTCATTTTAAATATTGATATTTGATAACCGAGAGCCATTGAGCAGAGTAAACAACAGCACACCGAATTCTTTACATTTGAATGAAGTTTTATGACCGAGGGATGGTGTGGGCTTATTTCTATGAATGTATTATAAGACATTGGTAAAAGGCATCTACAAAAATCTTCTTGCATGATTGTGAAGCTCTTTATAGCATTTTATAGCATTTTGTAGGGAAGTACTTTGTCTGTCTGTCCATTTGATTTTTTGCATGGCTGGGAGTTGAACCTGGACTTGGTGGGTGTTAGGGAATTAGGGAAATGTTCAGCCTGAGCTACAGTATTTGGTAAACTCTGTAAAGTGTGACCAGGAAAAGAGAAGTTAGGGTTTTGTTAACCCCCGATCTCTGGGTATTAATAAACAAAGCCAGGACAGCTTCTTCTTATCCAAGCTAATGGAAATTAATGAGGAAAGACACATTCATGGACTAAAAAAAAATGAGATGTTCCTATTCATTTGAATCCCTCCACTTTTGTAATGTTTAAAGTCTGATGTTTGTGAACCAGGTGCTTAGTTTCTGTAACGTGAATGTTGGACATAAAAGACGAACAAACTTAGTCTAATGGGGGCTGGTGAGAGCAAGTCGGGGGGCGGGGGGGCAGGGAAAGTTAGCCTTGACAACATGCTGAGAGCCTGTCGCAAAACCACACAAACCACACCAGACACAGCCCCACAGGGGACACGAGCAAGTGGCAGCCGACACTGCAGCGTCTGAGTGCTAGAGCTGCCCGGTCTGGGGGAGCCGGGCCCCGTGGGGAGGGATTTCTTCACCTTGGCGAGGAAGGCCGTCCACGAACGCATGGACACCACACGTAGAGGACAGGCTGACAAGGGGAGAGACTTACAAACATTTTTCCAGGAGCCACGTTCGAAGGAGGTGGATGCAGTCTCAGGATGATAAAGTCTGATGGGCAGGAGGCAATCGGGGACATTTGAAGAGGGACGTGGGAAGAGTAAACGCTATGCCTTGAGGAAGGAATAGGAGAGAGAGGGGAGCACTGTGGACAGCTCCGTGGAGACCCAGAGGGTGCGGCCGGGAGGGAGGGGACAGCGGCTCCAGCCTCGGGACACTTCTGCCCGTGTGTGCTCCACCTTGTGTTCTTTGTCCCGCACGGCTGGCGTGGGAGGATGGGCGGCGGGCAGCCAGGGCCGGATGGCAGCCGGGGCTGACGGGCCGTGTCTGCTGGTGTCGCTGCAGCTGCGGGGCTGAGCGGGGAGGAGGACTCTGGAGGCTGCACCTGCACCGGCTGCGAGAGCGCGTGGAGCGTCGTGGCGGAGGCCTGCACAGCTGCAGGTAGGCCACGCCACGCGGGGAGACCACACGGGAGACAGACCACGCCAGGAGCTGCTCCTGTCCAGCTCTGGGCGGGGCTGGCTGCCCGAGAGGTCAGGGGAATCCGCTCTCATGCTTCACCGCGGTGCTCAGCCGTGTCACCGTCCACCAGCCGAACGACACGAGGTGGGAGAGGGCGCTCAGAGCCAAGAGGGCACGCTGGCCCCACGCGCACCGCTGTGACTGGCCACACTCCCAGCCCATTTATACCATTCATTTTACTTTCTTGCAACCTAAAGACTAGGTTTCATTCCAAATGGGTCAAGGAAAAAGGAAAACAATTCTATAGCCCCCAAATTTGAGGAGCTGTTCAAAATGAGGAGCAAAGAGAGGATATTTGTAAAAAGAAAATGATATTCAGCATATTCGTGTCACTGATGAATACTGAATAAAAAGCATTAGAGGATGACTTAATGTCATTAAAAGTAGATATGCCAAAGGGTGGGACATCCCTCAATATTGTTACATCAACATCATTTTTAAACTTGTATCCTAACATAATGGCAATTTATCGAGTGTGTGTTACAACTATAGTGATATGCTAAAAATTCGGAAAACCTTATGGGTATTTTGTAAGACAAACTCAGAATGAAAAAAAAATGTGTTCTTTAATGAGCCAGTGATTCTTGACCCATTTCGCAAGGATTAGATTTTCCTTTGCTCATTCTCGCTGTCCCCTGGTGATCTGTTTACCGTGGAACTTGTTGGGTTAAAGGCAGAAGTTCACAGTTCTAAGGATGGCTATACAGAGCTGAGACCGTGGGCCTCCACCAGCAGGGAGCCCTGGCTGGATTCCATGGGCTGTGGAGATAGGCAGTTTCTTGTCTTCTCTGCACCTGATTAAATACATGGAATATTCACACTGACTAAAAGAGTATTATAGCTATCTAGTCTGACAGATGTATTGATATTTAAGGAAAAATAATTTCAAAAGCACATTTGCCTTTGAAGAGCAGAGAATGACCCCCCAAAAGATCTATTCTTTGTTTTGATGATGAAATGCCTTACTGTATTTTATGAGGCAATTTAAAGTGTGTATAGATAAAATGACACCCTTGGTATGATGAATTATAAGTTATTTATGTATTTTCGTATACAAAGAGCAACTCATTTGCAGTAAATTGCAATAACATTTGCATAATTATTTCATGCATAAAATTGAAATGGAAATATTCTCAAATGCACGAGTAAATTGAACGCAGATTGTTTTCTTCAGAATAATGAATATAAGAAATTGTCAGGGAGAGGAATGTGAGTTTTTAAATTAAAGCAGAAAATGAAATATGGAGTGACTCATTTGTTCAACAATATACATTGAGTACTTTCTGGACATTTTGTTTCCTATAACACAAGTGGAGCCCCCCACACACTTTTGCTATAATCTCAGAATAGCATGTAAGATGAATGGCAGATGAAGACAAAATATTGAATAAAAAAGCCAACCGAGAAAAATAAATGAGATAGAGCTCGGGTCACTTGTGTAAGGACAGCTTTGAAAACCAGGGAGCCAAGCACCGACCTTGCACATGGTGACACAGCGATTATACAGTGTAGAAATGTACAACTATTTTAGAAAAATCCCTTTTGGGAAAAGTACTGCCCAAATAGACATTGTTTAACAAGTCTCTTCTCCGGCTATCCCATAGTGGTCCCAGATTTTCTCGCTGTAACAATCGTGACTCAGATTGATAAGTTTAAAAGCACTTTGGAAAGGAGAACCCTGTATTTTTCTCCTGATTAAGATCTGTCGTGTCTGTGTCTGATTTTCAACCCAGGTGATCCCTGTAGCATAACCAATGCTTCGCACTGCGGCCTGAGCGTCCGTGCTTTGCTGGAAAGCAAACCCTGGCTTAAAGAATGTCTCTGTGCTGGCGACCTCTATTGTGCTGTGAGCAAATTTCTTGGACAAAACTGCATCAACGCCTCAGGTAAGATGCGTGGAGGGAGCTGAGCCTGCAAAGCTTGGACCTGCTGCGTAGCGCTGGGTCCTGATTTGACACGCTGCTGGAAATGCTTCCGTCTTCATATCAGGGGGCTGGCTGTGTTGCTTCCAGCTGACCCAGTCAGAAGCATCTCAGAACCACTCCCGGGCTGTAGACCAAAACAGTGTTTAAGTTAATGAAAACCCTCAGGATTATTCTGAAGGCTGAGGGACAAACACGAGTCTGGAAGGTGCGTGGAGAAAATGCGCTGATTCTCTTTGGAGGATGACGACCCGTTTCAGCACTGGACGGCATGGGACGGGACATCTGTGCACACTCATGCACACTCAGCCCACACCGCAGCTGCTCTTCTAGCTTCAGTGCACACCATTTACACGGCAGGGTCTCAAGGAGTTATCCTATGGGACAATGGTGGTCGATGACCACAACGTAATGGGCAAGGGGTGGAAATTCATACTGAGGTGTGAGCAAAACTGTGTATGAATATAAAGGACACACACCGACTCTCTCAATGGATAACACCTTTGGGAGATGGAAATGTCACTAGGTGTAAGAAACAGCAAAACTGTGTAAGAAGCAGGTGAAAGGGAAACTGAGTAAAAGCCAAGAAACTCTTCAGCAAGAGAATGTTTGCAGGAGGAAACGGGAATCCACGAGAAAGTGTGTGACAATGCGGGGTTGATTGTCTCTTGCATAGTTTAATCTAAATGTTCTATACACCGTCACCAAAATGTACTGAGACCAAAGCAGTAAGTGAGCAGAATACAATGCAAAAACCAGTGCTTTTATTGCTGGGACAGAGTGCAAAACCGTTACCCTCTTTTGTGTCTCCAGTGCCGCCGTTCACGTGGCTTGCACATGCTCCCTTTACAGCCATTCTTCGGGGTTTTTGAAAGCTGCCTGGGCCAGGAGTTTTGGCGAAGGCCATGCCTATGTGACCTTTCATATGCATTAAATAGTCACACACAGGTGAATCGTCTTCATTTCCGTTGCTTTCTTTCTAGAAGAATCGGTGCAGTTCCCTGCCTCGGGGTCAGGATGGGACCACGCGGGAGCCCCATCGTCCACGGCGGGAGTGCGGGCGCCCTGTCCCACCGCGGGGCGTGTCTGTGCCCGGCCGCAAGAGAGCTGTAAGGAAGCCTGCAGTGCGCAAGCCCTGTGGTGCCGCGGCCGGGGCGGAGGGCAGCGCGGCCCGGGCGGAGGGCAGCTGTGCAGCACGGCCAGGGACCGTCTGAGCGCGACGCGTCTGTGGGACTGTCTGTGTCCCGACCCGCGGGACACGGGCTGCGCCAGCGTGTGGAAGCGTTTGTTTGAAGACATTTGCAGCCGGGAGGCCGCGGCCTCGTCCCCTTTGCTCGCAGTTCCAGGTTGGTCTGACAGGGAGGGGCTGTGGCCGTTAGGCAGGGTCACCGTCCCTTCTGCTCCTCTGGGCTCGGCCCGTGTTCCTCCTGGAAAGTGAGCATCGCGACCGTGTTTAGACGGGATCACGATCACGGAAACAACGTGACCTTCACGAGGGCAGAAGGTGCCCTCTGTTTACCGTTCCTCTCTGGAGTCCCCGCACTGGGGCTGGGCCCAGCAAGCCCGCCCCGCGAGGGAGGCGCGGTGTCTTTTCTGGTGTGGGAGCGGATGGGCGGCCCGCATCCACTCCCCCGCGCCCATGGCTGCTCCGTGCTCTGCTCCTGGCGTGGCAGCGAGAGGAGCCACGGTGCTGGGTCTGCGTGCGCCGCGCGCGGCTGGCTGCGTCCGCTCTCCTCGGAGGAGAGCGCGTCCCGCGTTGCCTGGACCCGCTCTCGGGTGGTGGGGAGGGAAGCAGCGGGGGTCTCCTCTTCTGAAGACACCGGTCCCGGCAGGTCTCCTGGCCCCGTGCTGCGTCTGCCCTCGGCCGTCCATCACGGCTCCTCGGACAGGGCCGTGGGCCCAGCTGCCTCAGGGCTGCCACAGACGGATGTGTGGCTACAGCCCCAAACTCCATTCCACACGCTCAACAGTCGGCATCTCCTGTGGGAGGTGCTGACTGCGCAGCCACTGGAGCGGGCCACGCCGGGGCTGACTGGGGTCTCGGGGTCACTCAGTGCCCAGTGACCGGCTGGTCACAAGCCAGGCCGATCGACCCCTCTCCCACAGGAGCAGAGCGAGTCTCCCCCGAGAGATCAGAGGGGCCCCGGGAGAGCGGGGCAGCCACAGGTAGAAGTGGCCTTTCTGCCCAAGTAGTAGACTACTGGAATGGCCTTTTCTTTTTCTTCCTTTGTTCCAACCACATCCTCTCTGCCCCTCTCTCCAGACAGAGTTTGTTTCTGGGCACATGATCTAGCCGTCAGCCTTGATCCGAAACCCCCAGTCCCCAACCTCTCAAAGGCTGTCTCCCGGATGGGGCTGACTTTTCTCCCTCTGTCCCTCACTGGTTTTGAATATCTAGGGTTACGTGTTCCTTGAGCCTCTGTATGCGCTTGACTCTTCAGTCACAAACTCTCCTGGGAGACTGAGAAAACGGCTCAGTCATGAACTCATTACTGTGTTTTCCTTCCAGATACGGAGAGAGACCACGATCACTTAAAATGGGATGTAACCACGGCTCTTCCTCATGGTAATCTTCTGAATGATCATGTTCATCTGTATCGTCAATGCTAGACAGTCCGTCCGCTTGCAGGGGCTCCGGCAGTGTGAGACACGCCTGTGGGGTAGCAGCTCCCGTGAGACAAGGCAAAGCGAGCCCTCACGATTGGTGTGCAAAACATCACACGAGCGTGTGCGTGCACACGCGTTAAACCCACTGCAGGGCGAGTCTTCCACCTTGCGTGTTGTGTGTGGAAGTGTCCACAGGTAGCTGCATTTTCTAGAGTATAGCTCCACCGCGTGGATCAGCTACGTGGCACTGGACTCTCGGTGTGCAGGCCCCACCAAGCGTGACCGGGCCGGCAGGGTGTGGCCTTCAGCGATGGGCGGCCATGAGCCCGGAGCTCACGCAGGCTGCGTCTGGGAGCCTTGGGCTGGTGGGGGTGCTTTCCCCGGGTTCGATTTGTCCCCAGGCCCGTGCCTGCCCCGCCCCGTGGCCCAGCCGCTCCCGGGGTCTCAGCCCATCCACGCCCGACCCGAAACGGGTTTCTCGCGGTGTCTCCACCCGCAGCATTGTCACCCAGAATGTCCCTTCCTTCAGGGCTGTGGCGGAGCCGGTCGTGCTGGGACGTGACGCGGGCCTGCCTGGAGGACCTGAGCTGTAACGCGCGCCTGGCTGCCTACCTCGCGGCCTGCCCAGCCCGCGGGGGTCCCTGCGCCCCGAGGCCCTGCCAGGCGGCCACCCGGCGCTTCTACGAGAGCTTGCCTCCCGCCGCGGCCCAGGCGCTGGCCCTGTGCACCTGCGATCCTCCGGATGACCATGCGCTCTGCCAGCAGTCCCAGGACGCGCTCCACGGCCCCCGCTGCGCCCGCCCCGCGCGGCCCCGCACCTGCCTGCAGGTGATGCGCAGCTGCCGGCGTGACCGCGTGTGCAGGTGAGCAGATGTGCGCACGCGCCCTGCCCGCCCGCCCCTTCTCCGTTAAACTCCAGTGCCAGCCCTGCGTCCCGGGACGCCCGCCTGACTTGGCACAGCGGCGGGGGTGTAAATCTGGAGTGCCTGGAGAATAGAATGTGGAACGAGACCGTGGAGATGGGTGTCGGACAGAACTGTCCCGAACCCGCTCTGCAGGCACGGGGCACGGGGTCAGCTGCCTGCGAGCCTCCTCGCCGCAGTGTGAGATGCAGGGTCAGGAACGCAGGCCGCTCGCCATCTACTCAGCCCCAGCTCTCCAGTGCGTGCGTCCTGTGAACACACACACATCTCTTTCCTGTCATTCCTGCCCTTCCCGGGGCTCAGGGCCCTGTGACTCCAATGTCCTCTCTCCACGCACAAGTACTTCCCTAATGAACCTTTATAGAGGTGCTGAAAACACGGTACCATCGAGGAACTCAACGTGAAAAGGTAAATCCTCTCGTCTCCCGAGCAGACTTTGCCTTAGGAGAATTCCCAGCATTCATGTTAATTTGCGGTCACTGTAATTCAGATGAGAATAAGCATGCGGGTGGGAAGCCTTCACCACGCGCTTTTACACGGGCCGGGGGCCGGCGTCTAAGGTAAAGTTCCTGCGCCGATTCCTCACTGCACGGCGAGGTTTAGAGCAGCGCCAACCCCTCACTGCACGGCGAGGTTTAGAGCAGCGCCGACCCCTCACTGCACGGCGAGGTTTAGAGCAGCGCCGACCCCTCACTGCACGGCGAGGTTTAGAGCAGCGGCTGCTTTGGCAACGGAAGTCCTAGCTCTGATTAATTCTGTCCCGGGCGGCGATCCACCAGAAACACCAGCTTAGGAACTTAACAGAACACGGTAACATTATTTCCATATCTATGAACTCAGAAAAGTAGCTTAAAATTATTTGCTCAGAACAATTCCAGCTTCGCTTCCCCCGCGGACTCGGGTGCGGCGTTTAGGAAGCCTGGTGAGCACCCGCTGGGCCGCAGCAGGTGCTCAGCCACCCCCCCCCCCCGCGCCCTGCGGAGGGACTGGAGATCGCTACAAACCTGAAGCCAGACATGGCTCAAACCTTTCTTAAAAAAAAAAGTCAAACACTTGAGACAAACCTTCATCGTTGGAAGCTTATGCCAAAAAACCAATTGGGATGATATGGAGAAACAGAAAGGGCCAGGAAAACCCGCAGCAGCCATTTCAAACCAAAACGGAGACCGTAACCACAGTGTTCGTGTAGGCATGCGTGCCCCACCGCACACACTTTCCATGTTAATTAACGAGTCAACCCATGATCCGTCAGAATTTGTGACTTACATTTGAATGAAGTAACTCCTCTGAGAAGCCAAATAAAACACTGCACACAGTGAAAGGGCGTCAGACCGAGTAGACACGGCATTTGGGCCCGACCCCGAGGAAAGGAGCCCTGGTGCCGCTCAGGGTGATTCCAGACCCGCGCTCTCTCCCTAGGGAGCGCTACCGGACGTTCCAGGCCGCGTGCTGGCCACGGGTCGCCGCCGAGTGCCAGGAGGACGAGACCTGTCTGGGCCTGCTGCACAGGCCGGGCCTCCGCTGCTCGGGGAGCAGGGGCTGCAGGGCTGCCTTCGTGGGGACCCTCGGCACCGCGCTCCACGCGCCCTGCACCTGCCAGGCCGCCGCCCAGAGCCAGGAGCTCCCGTGCCGGGCCGTCCAGCACCTGCTCCGGAGGGAGGCCTGCTTCCGTGAGTGCGCCCAGAAAGGGCCTGCCGTCTCCATCCGTCTGTCCATCCATCCGTCCGTCCATCCATCTATCCTCTCTCCCTTCCTTCTCCCTCTTTCTCTTTCTTTCTTTCTGTCTGCCTGTCTGTCATGTGTCTACCTGCTTGTGACTCTTGGCCACCTAACCCAGAAAACTGATTCACAAAGACGCTTGCATCTGCTCTTCGCTGACGCTGTCCTGGGCGGTTGCATGGTTGCTGCTTCACACATTTAACAGAACGCGGTTTGACAGACAGAGCAATGCTGATGTCACTTATTGCTTTGGATAGCAAAAGCACAATGTAGGTGACTGGTCAGAGAGCTGCTCATACAGCCCATCCGGCCGGAAGACCTGTGGGCCGTGATGTGACTGTAATCCTGCGCTGGACCACTCTGACATGAGAAGGGGCTGGGCACAGCTCAGGGCCGTGGGGCTCAGAGGAGGCTCAGGGTGGTGAGGCCTGGAGGAGGCTCAGGGCGGTGGGGCTTGGAGGAGGCTCAGGGCGGTGGGGCCTGGAGGAGGCTCAGGGCGGTGGGGCTTGGAGGAGGCTCAGGGCGGTGAGGCTTGGAGGAGGCTCAGGGCGGTGGGGGAGGCTCAGGGCGGTGGGGCTTGGAGGAGGCTCAGGGCGGTGGGGCCTGGAGGAGGCTCAGGGCGGTGGGGCTTGGAGGAGGCTCAGGGCGGTGAGGCTTGGAGGAGGCTCAGGGCGGTGGGGCTTGGAGGAGGCTCAGGGCGGTGGGGCTTGGAGGAGGCTCAGGGCGGTGGGGCCTGGAGGAGGCTCAGAGTGGTGGGGCTCAGAGGTGAGGCTCAAAGGAGGCTCAGGGCGGTAAGGCTCAGAGGAGGCTCAGGGCAGTGGGGCCCGGAGGAGGCTCAGGGCGGGGGTGAGCTCCCCGGGACAGGTGTGGGGGAGCCTCCAGCAGTGGATTCACTGACGCTGACGTGGCCTTTGCATTTTGCCCCCTGCGAGGCTTCCTGGACTGTCCTCCTCCTCATTCATCTCTGAGCTGGGCTCGGTGGGGGAGGAGCCTCCTGGGGAGCTCACAGGATTGACTGGAGTGGAGGAAGTTAGACCAGAAGCTGGACAGACAGATTTTTGTGAGCAGACTGGGGCTTCCTGGGGACAAGCCTTGGAAGTGTGTGTGTTAGTTTCTGTTTGTTTTGCTCGCTGTCATGTGCCAGAATTCATGTTTTTAAAGTACGGTCTTCACTTAGTGCCCAGCTCCGCCCCGTTTCCTTGCTTCTTTACGCGCAGCCCGCTCTAACGTAGGGTACACAAGGACACACGCAATCGGCGTGCGTGAAAAGCAATCCGCGCGCGTGAAAAGCAATCGGCGTGCGTGAAAAGCACTCCTTTTCGTCTGGGTTTAGCTGCAGAGTTGAGTCCGTCTGTTTACTGAACTTGGGCCTCTTATAGAGTGTGGTTTTGCCTCTTGCTGTTTGCACGCAGACGTGGCCATTTTGGTATCAGCGAGCCCTTGTTTTTCTCTTTCTCGTGTCTGCCTGCCACGGCAGCTCGGTTCTTCTGTCTACACCGCGCTTCATGGCAGGAGCATTCGTGCAGGGCGGTGTGATCTCACACAACCACCCTGATGCTTCCCAATGCCCCACACGTGCCACAGGCCCGGCGACCCCGGCCTCCCCGCCTTCCCAGCCTCCCACGAACACGGCCCCGCGACTCGGTCCGTGTGTCAGCGCTGCATGGCAGCGCCTGCCCCAGGTGCACACGTGTCCTCAGGCCGAGGACGTGCGCCGCCACCGCCAGCACGCTGCCCACGCCTCCCTTCTCGCCATATGAGAGAGTGCGGGAGAGCGAGGAAGGCCGCTCCCAGGCTGACCGGAGACCGGCGCCTCGCCGTGCGGCTGCGCCCTCTGCCCCTCTGTGCGCCCTCTGCCCCTCTGTGCGTCCTCCTCTGAGCAGCCCTTCCCCGCCCGTGGGGAGTGCGTTCGAATCGCTCCTGCTCCATCTCCCTGGCGGGGACACCAACGCCCGCCCGGCCGCACGGGAAGGGAGGCGTCCTGGACCAGGCACGTCAGCCCCGCGACAATCTCTCAAGCGTGTCTGACCAGCCAGCACTGGAGCGGAGCACCGGCCCAGGGCTCGAACTCACTCACGGCCGACAGTGTGGCTGTGCAGGGCGTGGCGGGGCCGCTTGAGAGGGAAGAGGAGGCCATGTGGGTTCAACGGCCATGCGGAGCACCGTGCTGTGCTGTGCTGTGGAGCACCGTGCTGTGCTGTGCTGTGCTGTGCTGTGCTGTGCTGTGCTGTGCTGTGCTGTGGAGCACCGT